TCCGAACGAACGAACGAACGAGCGAGCGAACGAATGGAATTCGGTATATTTAAACGGTCGGTGGACCGAACGCATGCGGTCGTTCGTTTGTTCGTTCGCTCGGCCATCCATTTCGAGTCGGTACATCATAGGCGTTTTCGTTTGGTTCTAAAATCCGGTTCCGTCCATACTACTACCGAACGAACGAATGAACATTCGTTCGTTCGTTCGGATAGTGAATACGCACCTTTATAAGTCTAATATTAGAATGTCGATTTTAATTATCTCATAATTATCTGTCACTGTAAACAACTTCAGCGACATAATACCAAAAAAAAATAAAATTTTCATTCCACAACACTGTATCTCTTCTCGTTTTTTCATTTCCTCTAAATCGACATCGCCCATTTCTGTATTTGCTGCGAGTATGTAGAATAACGAAGAGTTAGGAAAAACAGTTTTTTCCCTCCTTTTTCCTACAGGTCTTTTCGGTACGTGCGGGTATTCGCTGCATCGCCCTGTACAGTAACGGCATCTGGCGGTGCTTATGGCTTTTAATTACCGACCGATGCGCCATTAGCAGTCGTAAAAACGGTTCATCTGTTAGAGAGGACGACGAGGTATTTAGAAAACTGTTTCTTTTATATTGTGCAACGTCTATACCACAGTCACACGCAGCAAACGGAGAAAAAATGAGGATTACTTACTAATTCCGCCAGCGGTCGATTTTCAGAGAACTAAGTCGACATAGAACCGTACTGATATATGAATAACGCTTGATTTTAATGTGTCCGTTATCCGTTGATGCGATGGTCCGACGGAACTCTGATTGGTCATAGCATTTTCGCGCCACTTTTCATCCGAAATTTTTTACTCCAGCCCGTCAACAGAGAAAAATCGTAAGCTAACGGACGTTTTGACACTTTTTTGACAAATTTAATCTAACCATAGACAAACAAATAAAAAGAGACTGGCAAATTAAATGGCAAAAAGAGGGACAACGTTCCCGTACCGCAACTCAGAACGCAAAATTTCGTTCTTTTATGTTGATCTGCGCATTGCGTTTATTGGGTCCACTATCTCATTCTAATATAACAAGCGAGAAAGAAGCAGCCATATAAAACGTAATTTCTAAATATAAATTAGAACAATCGCCTTTCGTTTTCGTCATCATGACAACCAAGATGACAACATCATGACAATTCGTCATGTTTGTTAATTTTTCTTTTGGTGATTTACCTTTTTTTCTAAACTATCCATTTTATTGACTTATGAATATGGATAGGGAACGAATTCCTTTGTTCCATATAGGTATTTATATTTTGTTACTTATAATTTTAGGTTATACTATTTGTTATTTTATTTGCTGCAGGAGCCAGTATCATCTATTTTCTCATGCAATGGTACCTCCTTTCTCTGATAGATATGTTAAAGACACCCAGTAAAATAAAAGTAAGTAGTTATATTTATCATCTTATTAAGAAAAAAGTAGAAGTAGTAGTGTCAAAAATATTTCGAACCTCTCTTAACATAACAAATTAATATAATTAATTTTTCTCATGTTTTGGGTAGGTAGTTTATAGCTGATTTATAGTAACCAGAAACTTTATTAATATACCTATTTTACTTTTGTTTTAGGATTAAAACTGGACTTGAAAATGGGTCAGGGTCATGATTCTCGTAAAGTCTTCTTTGCTTGGATATTCACATTGTTATTGCAATTAGGCAGTTTTTTCGAAAATGAGATTTTTAATGCCCTTTAAAAAAATTGGCCGATCGTTTCCTGCAACAGTCAGTTCTTCTGCATTTAAAATTGGTAGGTGGGTGGAATAAACACTGTTATTTTTTGTTATTATATTATAAAAAGTTTATTTATTTTTATGTATAAATAAATATGTTTATAAAACAGTGCAATGTTTGCTTTTTTTTATAATTTCCCTTATAATAGTAGTATACTTTCGTTATGAAAAAAACTGCAAATTTTCACTTAAACTACGTTCCCTTTACGTGGTATAGGGGATAAATTAGTTTAAGTCAAAATTTTCTGTTTCAAAATCAAAGAATACGATACTACTAATAATGGCTAATTTAAATTTTCGGCCAGCCAGAATGTGCGATAATATCTTACGATACGTTTTATACCTATCTCTTTCTTTTTCATATAAAGCACACATAATAAAGAAAGATAGCAATAAAGACGTACGTCCTGCCATGGTCCTGCTAATTGGTTTCAAAATTGTTATTCTGAGTTGCGCTACGGGAACGGGGTCCCACTTTTTACCATGGGATTTGTCAGTATGTATTGACAATACCTGCCACAAGTTCATCAGTAGAACGCAATTTTTTAACACTTAAACATATAAAAATTTCGTGACAAATTCAAAGGGTCAGGAGAAACTTTTGCAAATATATCGCTATTGTCCATCGAAAGTAAACTTCCCCAAAACATGTCTGAGCATCCACGTTTTTATGATGACGTAATTTACGAATTTGCAAAAAGTGATCGAATTACATTACAAATAGGTAAGTTTCTAAAAATTGCTTCCCTAACTTAAAAATTCAACGCCCCTGAATAAGCCATAACTAATTTTATTCATTAATATTTCCATTTATAATTATTTAACGTCTTTTAATTTTACCAAACATTCATATGTAATAGTTTTGGACATATCTGTATATCTAATGGAAACTTCTCTACCTATAATAGATATATCAAATATAGACATCCAAAACTCAACAATCACTGCCACATCAACAAAGCAGTGAGACTAATCAAATACTACAAGTTATATTGGCCATTTATCATTATTATTGATTACGAGCTTTTGCCAGCGAGTTCGTCGCGTATACTTTTAATGGATTTAATGTCATCATGCTGTGAGCATATAATATAATCATTTCAATAAAAATATTAAGAAAAAAGTATAATACTATCGTTGTATTCACGCATTATAGATAGAATAGCATCATGAACTCCCATTTTGGACATTTCTGTTTGGCGTTTTAATTGACAGATTTGAATTTGATTTGAAACTTTCTTGTGGGTTTTTTGGGCTTTTCTATTTTATGTTATTCTATTGTATGTTATTTATTATTCATTCTATAATTGGTTTTGTTTGGAGGTAGTAAATCTAGAGAAATATTGGTGGCAGAACTTAGAATTGACTGTGTTATTATGGCGATTCCATAAAGCGACTGTAAAATACTGATACTTGGGTGCGATAGTTGTTCTGTATTTTAACGTATTTGAATAGTGATAACTTTTTTTACAATTTTGAGTGTAGTAGAAAATCGACTAATGTAAATAAGGATTCCATACGTCCGAATTTGCCAGACTGTTGTGCCTGTCATTTTAGTACGCAAGTAAATTGTATTTTCTGTCATTTTTTGAATGTCATCTGTCGAAATGTTCCCTAACTCGTTGAACAAACTTTAGCTCATGCTAAATAAACTCACCGGCAAATAAAACGACCACTAAAAACTAGTCCCAATTTCAAAGTTGGATTTCTCGCGAACCTCTCATTAGATTTTAATGATTTTTTTTTAAAATTGCAAATTAATTCCTTATTAACGCATGCTACATCAGAAATGTTTATTCCGAATTTATTTTGAGCATATACAGGGCACAACAATAAGACGAAGTTTTTTGCCCTAACTTTGTCACACCCTGTAATGTGCAGTAGCTGTAGTAGCTATTGCTAAATCAAATCACATTATCGCCTCATGTTTTGTGAACATTTTGTTTTTTTAATCATGACATTATCTCTGTTTGTATTGGAGATACGCTGTTTTAAAACGAACGTCTCGGAAAAATGCTTCGCAGGCAGAAGATTTTATGTGTAAAATCAAGGCGATATAGACGAAAACGGATTTATATTTGCAATATGACAATAACGGTTGTCAAATTAAAAAATGCCATTATCTGTGACGGATGTTGCACGTATTGTGGCTTTAATTGGGGATGGCCGAAGTCAACGAGGATGCCTTTTATTTTTTAACTATGAGGATGCTTGGAAACGCTGTATGGAAACGGGAAATTACCTGGCGAATGGGTTCCGGAAGAAAACGGAAGACAAATGCAATTGACGACCGCTTTATCGTCCTGAATACTTTACAAAATCGTAGAATTATAGCGTTTCAGAATCAACATCTGTTACAAGCCGTGCGTAGAACTCAAGTCAGTGAGAGAACAATCCGACGAAGACTAAAAGAAACCAGCTTGTCTGCAAGGAGACCTGCCACAGGACCCCAGCTACTTCCAAAACATCGTCAAGCACGTTTTCAGTTTGCGCGTTTACATGTGAATTGGGATATTGAGCAAATCCTTTTCACGGATGAAACGCGGTTTTGCCTGCGAAGCATTTTTCCGAGACGTTAGTTTTAAAGCAGCGTATCTCCAATACAAACAGAGATAATGTCGTGATTAAAAAAACAAAATGCTCACAAAAGATGAGGCTACAATGCGATTTGATTTAGCAATATCTACTACAGCTGCTGCACCACACAGGGTGTTACAAAGTTCGGGCAAAATCCTTCGTCTTATTGTTGTGCCCTGTATATGCTCAAAATAAATTCGGAATAAACATTTCTGATGTAGCATCCGTTAAGAATGAATTAATTTACAATTTAAAGAAAAATAATTAAAATCTAATGAGTAGTTCGCGAGAAATCCAACTTTGGAATTGGGACTAGTTTTAAGTGGCCGGTTTTTTTTTGCCGGTGAGTGTATATATACAACTGGTAAATTGGTTTGGAAGTATCGGTATATAACAGTGCAATATTTAATTTTACCAAAAAAAAAATAAACACTTAACAATGCTAAAACAAAAGTGTGTATTAACTAACAAAATGCTCATCATAAAATAAAGAAGATAGTCCACTAAAAGATTATAACATACAATTAAATCTTAAACTGAATAAGTAATATCAGAATATCTCCTAAACAATCTGAATAAGTAATTAATTAATTATATATAATATTATTATATATAATTAATATGAAACTATTGAAATTGACATACCTTTTTCGATGTAGCAATGTCGACTTCTTCGATATCCAAATCTTCATTTTCTTCACTATCTTCCCCGATGATGTGCTGTCTGTCGTCAGTAACTTGCGCAGATTTATCTTGAGTGTCTTGAGGCTTGGTTTCAGGTGTCTTTTGCCAATCCACTTTTTTCTTACTGTTAACATTGGCATTAAGTGATAACTTCACTAACGGCTGTTGACCTGTTTGTAAATAATATAACTTAAAATGGTATCAATATAAATGAATAGTTTGATCCCGGTCATTAAGTTAATGTAATTTTCATCTTTGTATATTTTTCTAAGATTAAAGAATGGGTAAATAAAATATAAGAACTCAAAATTGTTAATTCGCTTTTAAAGGTGTATACTACTCGTATTTTAGTAGGTGCTTCATACTCACCAGATTCATCACTTTCATGAATTATATCGTCATACAACATATCTTGGTCGTGTAATGACTGACCGACTGTGCTTGGCATCCTGAAAAAATAAAAGAAATTTATATATGTTTGTTTTTTATAACTTTTGTTCAATAATTTGTGATTACCATAAGTTATAAAATTACTAGTCTTTTTGGATTAGAAGTATTTTGTTATTAATGGCATTTTCCATTAGTACTCAAATGTTAGAGAGAGACACATCACTGCTTTTTGGTAAGATCTTAGCAGGAAATCGTTAATATGAATTTTTCCAATTTTATTGGTTTTGGAACCTTAGAAGCTCTGAAAATCCGTAATCAAAAATCGAGAGCAGTATTTAAAAAAACGAAAGTTACTGATGGCAGCTCAAAAAAGACGATTCTAGACTTCGGTTTTAAAATCTCATCTCTACAACATCTTGTAAAGCAAAAAAAGTGGCAATGGTTGTAAAATTTATTTTGTTATACAGGGTGGTCCAAATTGTATTCCGGTAACTTCGGCAGCATATTCTGCAGATAAAAATAAATAAAAAAGTTCTTATAAATGTATGTCCTAAAATTCTTCGTTTTGGAGTTACAGGGTGTAGAAGTTCCATTTATAAGTAGAAGTTACAAGTAAAATTGATTTTGATATCAATATGACTACTATTTGTAGGGGACGCCACCTATATGTATTTTAACTGTTTTGAAGAGTAATAACTTTTCGTCCGTACCTGTCTAAAACTATTGAGTGGAAAAATATACATTTCCGTAACTTTTTACGTAAAAAATCTCTCTTGGTAAAAATTGCTACGAGTAACCGTTCTCAAGATATTTCGAATGGGAATAGAAAGATAGGGACGAAAAGTTATAAAACTCTTCAAACCAGTTAAAAAATATGTAAGTGGCGCCCTCTACAAGTAGGAGTCATATTGACATCAAAATCAAATTTTTCATGTTAAAAGACTCCCAGACACCAATTTTAATTCAAATATTGACGTTACTTTATAAAAGATTTGGAAAAAATCAAAATAAAAATGAAATTTCTACACCCTGTATCTCCGAAACTAAGCATTTTCGGACATACAATTACATGAATTTTTTTACTTATTTTTATCTGCAGAATATGCTGCCAAAGTTTCCGGAATACAGTTCTTACCACCCTGTATACATTTTCAAAAAATAGTCCTAAAGAAAATTAAAAAAAAAACCGTAAATACCCGTTTTTTTTTCAAAAATATTATAAAGTATTCGGAATTTTTAAACTTTTATAATGGAATTTTGATCAGCATCAAATTGCGCAACTTGAAACACCCTGTATATAAAAAACAGGTTTCACTATAAATCATACGATATTTATAATACGACAAAATATTATTTGAAAAAAATCAGATTAAATCTTCTAATACCCAATATATTTCAACCTCTAATTGACTATTATTTATTATCAAAGATTAATTCTACTCGCGATAGCGTTATCCGTCCACTTAAAGGCCTGTTCACGCTCACTAACCTGTCGTTAACGTCGGATAAGGCCAATTTGTCATCTTTCCTCTCGTGGGGATTTATGTAGTGGCCCAGATCGTCCTCTAAGTTGGGAGTTTTGTCCGTCTGCAGTTGGCAATGGTCCAGGCAACCGTGACGACATATCTCCACCTTACATTTGATGTGAACACTTAAAGCGTCTGGGAACTGCATCAAAAAGAAACAACACTATGAATGTAGTAGTAGACCAGTCGCCAAGTATTAAAAAATAGCTTATGGCAGGAGCAAATCCGGACAAGCTAGAATAAATTTTATTTTGTTTAGTTTAGTGCAAGGAAGCACGTGTTAAATTTGCACCACCCCCCAAGCCGGGATTTGGCCGCCATCTTGGAAAAAGTGGCTAAAATTCGGTTTATTTTTCATTATTTGTCAATAACTCGATTTCTATCAACTTTAGTGCAAAAAAATGTACAGACCAAAATTAAAGAGAAAAAACTCTATAAAAAAACGTTCTATGTACTTTTTCCGTGCGACGTTTCCAAGTTATCTCGGTTTAAGCACGCTAAATATATTATAAGCAGTTTTAAGAGAACCTTACTTTTTTTATTTATCCACGCATTTACTGGCTGCGACACCACATCCGCATTATACAGACAAGGAAAAATGAATTTCGTTAAAGTTTTACAGAAAGAAAAAGAATTATTACAGACAGCTGCACAAAGTTTCAATGACCCAAACGCATCCCCAGAAGATATAGAAAAAGCTGGTGAACGAGTTCTTTCATGGTACAAAGAATACAAGGTATGATCGATAGCGGCTCCAATTTCGTTCAGTTCGCGCATACCACCTGTGACGTCGCTAGGAAAATAATGAATAAATAAAAAATAAAGAAAGTTGACAGGAGATCTGCATTTTTGGGGTTATGGTTAAGAATTGTTTATTTTTAAGACTTTTTAGTTCGTTTAATTTAATAATTACTAAAACTAGCAGTTCCAAAAATATATTTAAAAATAATAATTATCTATTAACATGGATTTGGACGATAATAGGTAAAAATACTAAATTTATTTTTATATTCGGTATAAAATTGTTTATTAGGTTTTTAGTTTGCGATGTTTATGGTAAATAATTTTCATTTTTATTGCCTCTGAATTCACATGAGGACAGAGATGAGGATATCTATGGAAAAGTAACCACAAGAGGAATTGTTACATCATTTAAAAAATGTTGGGAAGTTTATTGTTTCCCATCGAAAAGTAGAAAATGCCAATGCAGATGAACGTATTGTAATTGTGATAGAAGTAATTCCAAGGGTGAAGTTTATTATAATTAGTGACCTGTGCTTCTTTTTATATGTAGATGTTTCTGGTTTTGAGAATAAATCGGTTGAACGACACCCAAAATTTAAAGGAAGTATTTGCATACCCAGAATATGCCCATCAAGGGTTATATAGCTCAAATTTCCTTTAATGGTAGGCAATTATTCAATGCAAATTAACTTTTAAGTGACTGAAGTATTAAATAGTTTACAATATGGTATATCACTAAAAATATATTACTTTTAGGTACAATTAGGGCCCGATACATTTCAAAAAGTAGAATATTATTTTATATTAAATGAGGTATTGTACTAACAATCAATTTATATTAATAACGGAGATTAAAAAATAACAGAATAAATAGTTCTTTTTTTATACTACAAAAATAAACTAGAATACAACAGTATTTAAAAAAATAAATAAAAAGTGATGTTCCGGCCGAGATTCGAACTCCGGTCTCTCGCTTCCTAGCCCGACTCCTTATGCACTGCTCCACAGTAACTTGCTTAGCGATAATTCAATGACGGTATATAAACAAAAAAAAACAGGTTTATAACAATATCTTGGCGATTTGAACTGGCGCGCGGAGCGTGCTGACCAATAGCGCCTGTTATCACCTGTGACGTAGCGACCAACCTGCGCAATATCATACCTTGTATTCTTTGTACCATGGAGTTCTTTTTCATCTATAGGGATCCAAAAAATGCGACTCAACAGATAATTACAGATACCAGTGTTTCGTAAAAGCTATTACCAAAAGCTTACCAAACCTAGCATCATTACCATCGACCAAAGACGCAGCTTGCTTGCACTCCTTCCGTACGTACAGTCAGGTACAGCTATGGTATGGGAATGAAAAATCACCTCCGGATTGGGGATGGAAAAATTCAAAGAATGGGTTGATGCCCATTGCTACTTCCCAAGATGCAGCTCCCTAAGAATTATTAAATCTGATTTCATGTAAATGTGCCAAAGGTTGCAATACATCTTGTAGTTGCCGCAAAGCAGGTTTGCGTTGCTCGGTAATGTGTGCACTTTGTCAGGGCAAATAATGTTCGAATAGTTTGGAGGTGGCAAAATGGGCTTGGTTCACAATTTTTTTTTATTTTATCAATCGAAAGTACAACTAAAAAATAACAGATCTACCAAAAATTTTATTCGTACGTTTAATACCTCAAAAACACGTACAAACATCTATTGCGCGAGAAAGGGGCGTGGCCAGCCGCTACGTCATAGCACCACAGGTCGGCTGGCGACCGCGTTCGATACAATGCACAGGTCTGCTTTGCCCGATTACAGAAAGTGTGTTTTAAATTTTTAGTACAACGTAGTGTAGTACTAGTCTTTCTTTTATTCAATATTAGTATAAAACAGACAAGGAAACGTTGTGTAGTGCCAGAATGCACAAATACGAATAAAAATTCCCCAGAAAAACTATTTATTTCTTTACCGTCCGACATAAAGTTAAGACGAGCATGGCAGCATGCAATGCGAAGACATGATTTTGTCTCTGACAGAGGCACCAGATTTTGTTGTGAAGATCACTTTGTAAGTTAATAGTTACAAGTAGTGTTTCCTATTTTTTTTAATAAATAAAACTAAAATCAGGTGTTATTCCTCACATTTTTGAGTGCCAAAAAAAAACGATCTTCTGCTTCAAATACAAGAAAACAAGCAGCCATTATTAAGGAAATATTAAAAGACGACGCAAGGCAGGCGGCAAATGAAAATTTTCATTTCAGGGCCAATACAGTAGACAAGGATCTTAAAATGCATGATCAAGAGGAGCGCATTTCAAACCATCATATTTATGCAACCACATAAGAAATGCTACCGCGTGCTTGCAACCACGTTCAGATGCGGCACAGTCATTATACTTTGCTTCTATCACACTTGTTTCACTAGTATTTATAATAATGCATTGTACATTATAATTTTTTGCATTAATTTTGTGCTCCGGTGTAATTTTTGCCACTACTTGTCATAGTGATTGCTGTTGTTTTAACTGCACATATTATCCAATGGCATTATTACCATAATTTGGTCTGTGAAATCAATTCAGTATTTGTCAGCTGTATATGAAACCACTGATTTTTTCTGGTTCGTGAATTTTTCGCGAGAATATTTATTAATAATTGATCAATAATTAATTTATTTTTGTTGTTTTTAATTAAAATTTTTAAAATATCAAAAATAATTAAAAATAGTTTTCTACAAGCGTGTTAAAATATTTTTCGCCACACTCCGATATAGAATAATATTACTTTAAGGTACTAGTGCTTTAAAATTTACTTTAGTCATTAAAGGAAACAAAAAAATATATATTTGAGGAAAGTCTCTTATTTACTTGTACAATTATTATGTATTAATTCAATATTAATTATATTCATATTCTAACTTATTTATATTATTAATATAAACAATAAACAATTGTTAATTCAATAATTAGCCGAAAAGCCTCAAAATGCCAATTAATTGTATTAATGTTACAAATAGAAGAAGATTGCATAGGTTAGTTAAGAAAATGCATAGGTAGCCTTCTTTCATATAGGGTAAATAACCCTTTTTTTACCCTAGCGAGCCGCCACTGCTTTCCGATACAGATAGGTATTTAAGCAATAGAAAATATCTTAGAAGGAAAATATAATAGAAAATAAATGATTTACTTAGGTACCTCTGTAACTTTATTTCCTTCATTTCTGAACTAATAAACTCCTAATTTTTATTAAAATAATCCATTATCATAAAAATGTCCACTTCTGGGAGATTGCCCGAATCAGCTTTATTGAACCCTTCTCCTACCGAATGCATCTTGTGAAAATAAACCAACAAAATAGTCTAAATAACGATAAAATGACAAATCACATTAATTCAAACGAGTGTTTCCGTTACGAACTGATTGACGGCAAGTCGGATGTAGTGGAACTACGTCACGAGGGGGCGTGGCCTCGTCTCGCCGTTACAAACTTTAAGCTCTCATATCTCGAAAACGGCAAAACATTTCGTTCTGAAATTTGTATGGTGCACTTATTATAATAAGTAGTATCCAAAAACGTCTAAAAAACATACAAATAGGATATGATGGAACAAGCCTATTAGCTGATCTAACCTAACGAAAAGAATATTCAGCACCTTATGTACCGGATCCGGAATATGATACAGATGTGGAAGACATTCAGGAAGATTATATTGAACAGCCAGTAACATGAAAAAAAACGAAGGAACTCTGATGAACCTTCCACCTCAAAATAAAAGCTAAGTTGGCGACATGTGGATTAGGTCTATTGGAAATGGGGAGACCACAAAAAAAACGCGCCGGGTACTTTACCTGAAGGCATCTCCCTGAGAAATAAGGCGGTTAAAGTCAATTTTCCACCAGTCGCGCAACAATAAAAATTTAGTCCGTTATTGCGGTCATAATGCAAATTACGTTCTTCCATTATGACCGCGACAGCAGGCTACTGCCAACCAGTAACAAACAAGTTTTTGGGCTTTATGTAACGGGGGTGCCGCTCAAGGTGGTGTGTAGTGATGGAAAAATTCTAAGTAATCGTTACAAAGTAACAATTACTTTACGAGGACTCGAAGTAACGCTTACTATTTGAATTTAGAACTCGTTACTCGTTACTAAGCTAATTCGTTACTTATGCGCCGGCAGTAATCGTAATCCCTGGAAATGCACGAACCGAGGACTCAAAACTCGATACTGAAATATTCCTTACTTCGACGTAGGTCTAGTTGTTATCAATATGTTTATGTTTAAAGTGTTGACTTGACGCCGGCCGGTGTTTTGGATGGCAAATGTGCGATATTTTTATTACAATTATTATGATTGGCTGATGCCGACCCGGAGGCGATCAGTCCCTTTGCCGTTTGTTGTCGCTTTTT